CGAAAGGGTATTAAAAAATATAAACTCAAAATAGAACACGAAACAATGGATTAAATTTAGATAAAATTGTGAACACACTGTGAACACACACTGTGAACACACACTGTGAACACACACTGTGAACACACTGTGAACACACTGTGAACACACACTGAACACACACTGTGAACACACACTGTGAACACACACTGTGAACACACACTGTGAACACACACTGTGAACACACACTGTGAACACACACTGTGAACACACACTGTGAACACACACTGTGAACACACACTGAACACACACTGAACACACACTGTGAACACACACTGTAATCACACAGGAGTTACCCGTGTTCATTCCTTGATTTTCACTACAGGATATGTTATGTTACCATTTTATAACAAATGCTCAAATATCTTTAATCCTTGCACTGTATACATATTTCGCTTCTAGCAGATAAATGACACGAGATTATGGTCTTCACACTGTGTAGTGTGAAGACTAATAATAATAAGCAGAAGCTCTTCATTGATCCTGTAATATTCCTATATCTAAATATTTTACGTATTAGCAAAAGACCTTCCACCAATGTTAAGTAATTTACGTAAATATAGGAGTTGTAATGATCATTTTGTGTAACTAGCTGACACTATAATTATAAGGTGTGCTGGGAGGATAGATGAAACTGTTAATGTCAAAATCTCCACTGAGGTCTGATTAAGATCTTTTGTGTCCTTTTAATCCTTTTTGCGCTACTGCTCATAGGATGAGTATGGGGTGCACAATAAACTAACCGCCTCCGGCGGCAACAATCATGTTACTCTCATTAATCATTATTTACCCTCTGTGCTAATTTGTTATTCACTGTAGGGTATAATACTGGAAGCTGGTTGACCTAAATTTATTTTATTGCGTTAGGATGTCTTATATTCAAAATATCCTGTTGACAGTGGATTATCTGTATACTGGTGCTCTGGGCCCATGCTGGCGCACTGTTGACAGTGGATTATCTGTATACTGGTGCTCTGGGCCCATGCTGGCGCACTGTTGACAGTGGATTATCTGTATACTGGTGCTCTGGGCCCATGCTGGCGCACTGTTGACAGTGGATTATCTGTATACTGGTGCTCTGGGCCCATGCTGGCGCACTGTTGACAGTGGATTATCTGTATACTGGTGCTCTGGGCCCATGCGGGCGCACTGTTGACAGTGGATTATCTGTATACTGGTGCTCTGGGCCCATGCGGGCGCACTGTTGACAGTGGATTATCTGTATACTGGTGCTCTGGGCCCATGCTGGCGCACTGGAGATTTTAATGTTTTTCAAATTTTTCACGATGTTAAACGTTATATTCTGCACTTTCTTTGGTAAAAGAATGTTGTATTAGGAGGCGTTCTGCGTGTCACAAGCCGTCTGATATTCCACGTTTATGGCTACTTGAATGCAGCAGGTACAAGAGCTTGTAAGCACTTGCTTTGTTACTTTGTATGTGCTCTGGGAATTTTCTTCGGATTAGAAGGTGTCTTACTTCCTGTCAGCTCAGCTTTTCCAAAGTCCAATTCGCCCTTGAGTATTGCTTTCACATCTGGGAAAGCTTCATTTTTATGAAAATTCTTGATGCAATTCATACGAAAGCTACTCGTCTTCCAAGTTCCTTTGAAATCATTTTAATATTTATTCATTATCCTTTTACTTGAACCTGGCATCTCTCACTCGTGTAGCTGTACCTGGGTGGCTCTCACTTTCAAAAGTTATCTTGAGGTTATCTTGAGATGATTTCGGGGCTTAGCGTCCCCACGGCCCGGTCTTCGACCAGGCTTCCTTTTTGTTACACATCCCCAGGAAACAGCCCGTAGCAGCTGTCTAACTCCCAGGTACCTATTTACTGCTAGGTAACAGGGGCATCAGGACGAAAGAAACTGTGCCCATTTGTTTCCGCCTCCACCGGGGATCGAACCCGGAACCTCAGGACTACGAATCCGAAACGCTGTCCACTAAGCTGTCAGGCCCCAGTTTTGTGAGGGATTTGTGAACCTATTTTTCATAATCACTTCCGCAATGTTCACCCAGCATGTGCCTCTTAACAAATACTGTGTTCCTAATGCAAATACTTTAATAGAGCACTAAATATTCTCGTATTTCCGGTTCACGGCTGTCTTGGGGACCACTCTACCCCTTGATGTCCTTCACGACTACGTTGGTCTCCTCTCAAAAGCGTGGGAGGAGATGCCTTCTGGAAAGTTAATATTCTCCAGTCTTCCGTTTCTGCAGTACTGAAGGCTCAGTTATATATCCTCCTGCTATTGTAGGTAGTCACGAGCTAGGGCTCATAGGGCACATGCTTCAATACTGTTGTTGCTTAATGTATTAACTAAGGCACACTCTGCCTATAGACGCTAAATGTGCATTATTTAAATCCCGTTTTGAATGAAAAATGTAAATACATTTTTGTACTGGAACAGCAATTGGATAAATAATTGTAGATCAGTTGAATAGCTTCCAGGTGAGGCAAAGCTGGCAAATCACCTTCCTTTTGTTGCCAACCTCATTTGTACTAGTAATTTTCTCAACAGAAAATGATATCAGTGACAATATAACAAATTTATTATAGTACTTTTTGGTAACAATTATCATTTGTTATAATTTCAGAATAATAAATTAAGGAATACTCTTTTAAGTTGTACATTATTCTCGTATCTGCTTGCCATTTATTATATGCAAATGAAGGACTCGAGACGGTAAGCCCGTAACGCATAATTAATGTGGTATTGGCAAGTGGGTAGTGAGCGGGACAGTGATGGGTCGTTAGGGCCTTATGTATGGTGATTAACACTACTTGTATCTTGAAAATATCGATGTGGGTAAAAAGGCGGAGGGAACCTGCCGCCCACCTTACCCCAGTGTTACCTCAGTACCTGGGAGGATGTCACGTAGTTACCTTTGTATAACATCGTTGTGGGATGTCACAAAGTTGCCATATATAGCATCGTTGTGGGATGTCACAAAGTTACCATATATAACATCGTTGTGGGATGTCACAAAGTTACCATATATAACATCGTTGTGGGATGTCACAAAGTTACCATATATAACATCGTTGTGGGATGTCACAAAGTTACCATATATAACATCGTTGTGGGATGTCACAAAGTTACCATATATAACATCGTTGTGGGATGTCACATAAACAGTGTACTCTCACGAAACATTTATTTCCTGAGTTAATTATTAAGTCTTTTTCTTGCTTTACTTTGTGTCTATCCTGTTCCTCTTCATCTCTCTTCCCCCCCCCCTTTCTCTCCCTCTCCCTCTTTCCTTGACACTCCCCCTTGACACTCTTCTTCCCTCACCTTACCCTCCTCTCCACCCCTGTTTTCTTCCTCATTCTCGCCTTCTCCCTGCTTCCCTCTGCTCTTCCTCACCCCTTCCCCTGATTTGTTATACCCCTTTAACCTAAATCCCCTTACGTTCCTCACTCGTAACTCCCCATCCCTTATCTTAGTCACTTTCGTTACACAGGCGGGCACAGGGGTAGACGCCTTCTGATATTTATAATGTCAGATACATGTCAAGATACGTGTTATAGAAACTGGTGTGTAATTAACATCTTAACCACAGAGGGTCATTAGGATGCTTTTATAAGCTCAAGTTATAATTACATCACAAATATTAAATAACTGATGCATTACATGCATGATCAATCTTGGGTACAAGTCCAGTATATCCAGTATATAAGTGTTCCAGTATTCATATAGTATTTACAGAGTTCAGCATACCTCAGCCCAGGGGGTGAAAGTCAGTCAGTATGGGACATTCTACAATATAATGTTCAAGGTAATGCATGTGTATTCGACACTTTTACAAAGTTGACACATGGTGTATCCGACACTTACAGTTGACACATGTGTATTCACACTTTCGCAAAGTTGACACATGGTGTATTCGACACTTTCGCAAAGTTGACACGTGATGTATTCGATATTCGAGTTTTAGTATTCGATATTCCACTATATCCACGATATTCTACTATACTATCACATCACAGTGCCAAGTTCCATTTATTCCATATGAATGTTTCCTCACTGTATTCATCATAACGTTTACTGCTACAGCTTTCAGGTCTTCATCAGTTTTTTCGGTCAGTAAGATATTCATGAGACATTTGTTTACCCGTGTTTGTAGTCTGAACGCTTTCCCTTCCCATGTCATGTTAAGCCTTACCCACTTGTTTTCCCTGGAACACAACCGACCACTCAAATTTACTCTCAAGTTCCCAGTTACTGCTGGGTAAGCAAGACCAGTTTCGGATTGGTTCCCAGTCAATCCTCCCCGGATTTTGTTGCGCGGCGAGTGCGTGTCATGTGTGTGATGTGGTTTGTGTACTCACCTAGTTGTGCTTTCGGGGGTTGAGCTCTGGCTCCTTGGTCCCATGTGCATGTGTGTGTGTTTTTGTTTGTGTATATATATCTATTAGGCCAACTACTGACCATCTCTAAGATGCAACCCCCCCCCTTCCCCGTCCCTTCCCCGTAGAGACTGTCGAGCTCCCACAAACGTATTGACTGCTACGTGAACAGAGGCACAAGGTGAAATGAAACGCGTCAAATTGTTCCCGCTCTAAGCTTTATACTGCTTTTTTGGGTATAGAAAATACATTGAATTTCAAGCTATGGCGAACTATTGAAGAAACGAGGTGTTTTGTAACTTCATCAATGCGGTCAATCACTCCTTTTCGGTATTCATTATTCACCATGTTTCATGGCATTATTATTTTTTTTTGTATTTGTATCTACCTTTCGTTTGAAAATATACTTTAAGGTTACCTTCCTTTTTAGGGCAGATTGAACGGTAGTTTGACAGTGGTTAATAGATATGTAATTACAACAAAATCGACCAATGCGATTATTCAATAAGTGCCAACGTAAAGTATGTGGTGCGTGTGTGTAGCGCGCGGGACAGTGTAAGTGTACTACTACAAACCCCTAACGTGAACACTAAGTTCTCCCACACTATGGTGGCCACCGTCACACCCAACACAAAGTTCTCCCACTATATGGCAGCCACCGTCACACCCAACACAAAGTTATCCCACACTATGGCAGCCACCGTCACACCCAACACAAAGTTCTCCCACACTATGGCAGCCACCGTCACACCCAACACAAAGTTCTCCCACTATATGGCAGCCACCGTCACACCCAACACAAAGTTCTCCCACTATATGGCAGCCACCGTCACACCCAACACAAAGTTCTCCCACTATATGGCAGCCACCGTCACACCCAACACAAAGTTCTCCCACTATATGGCAGCCACCGTCACACCCAACACAAAGTTCTCCCACTATATGGCAGCCACCGTCACACCCAACACAAAGTTCTCCCACTATATGGCAGCCACCGTCACACCCAACACAAAGTTCTCCCACTATATGGCAGCCACCGTCACACCCAACACAAAGTTCTCCCACTATATGGTGGCCACCGTCACACCCAACACAAAGTTCTCCCACTATATGGCAGCCACCGTCACACCCAACACAAAGTTCTCCCACTATATGGCAGCCACCGTCACACCCAACACAAAGTTCTCCCACTATATGGCAGCCACCGTCACACCCAACACAAAGTTCTCCCACTATATGGCAGCCACCGTCACACCCAACACAAAGTTCTCCCACTATATGGCAGCCACCGTCACACCCAACACAAAGTTCTCCCACTATATGGTGGCCAGCGTCACACCCAACACAAAGTTCTCCCACTATATGGCAGCCACCGTCACACCCAACACAAAGTTCTCCCACTATATGGCAGCCACCGTCACACCCAACACAAAGTTCTCCCACTATATGGCAGCCACCGTCACACCCAACACAAAGTTCTCCCACTATATGGTGGCCACCGTCACACCCAACACAAAGTTCTCCCACTATATGGCGGCCACCGTCACACCCAACACAAAGTTCTCCCACTATATGGTGGCCACCGTCACACCCAACACAAAGTTCTCCCACTATATGGCGGCCACCGTCACACCCAACACAAAGTTCTCCCACTATATGGTGGCCACCGTCACACCCAACACAAAGTTCTCCCACTATATGGTGGCCACCGTCACACCCAACACAAAGTTCTCCCACTATATGGTGGCCACCGTCACACCCAACACAAAAATACACTCCAACTTCCTCAGCGTCCTGACAAGAACACATTCAAATTTTGCGTTAAAATTCCTCCAGCCTGAATTTAATTTAAAAAGAGTTAAGTGTCGACCGTGGGAACCCGCACCGCAAGAACTCATTGTCAACCCACAACAAAGTTCAGAGAATAAACAGCAAATGCATCAAGGCTACACAAGGCCGACAACATCATTTCAAATGTTCCATACCAAGTAACGTCACACTTCACATCAGGACCCCTAAGGATGTCTGAAATACGCGCCCGCAGAAGAATAACCATAAAAATCCATGTCCCCATTAAGTTCAGCCTCACAAAGACAGATTCCAAGATTCCCACCCGTTCCAGACAGCCGCGAGGAGCTGTGTAATCCTCATTCCAGAGTTATCATCGCCCAGAATAATTATGCCCCATAAATATGCAATACCATCGTCGCTAATGTCTCCTCCCAAAAATTATCCTTTTCATGTATATGCTGTGCGCATTAATGTCAGCCAGAGAGAAACAGCTAAGGAGTTATTACTTTCCATTAATCACGCTGGCACACGCTCGCCACCTCCCCCACTTCCATATTCCAAGGCAGTTATTGCATATGAAATGTGCTCCACAATAATTACGCCACATTCATGATATCTGGAATCTAATTAAACTCCAGCTCATAAAGAATTCCACAGGCAAGGTAAGCTACGAGGGCCTTGTGCCGCCGAGGAGGGGGGGCGGGGAAGACCAGGAAGGAGAGCTGGGCTGAGACAAGAAATGCTGCGGTGTGAGGAAGAGGAGGAAGGGGAAAGGGAAGAGATAAGTAAATAGGAAACGGGGCGGGGATGAAGAGAATAATGATGTGTTAAAGTTAAGGAGAGGAAAAGGGGAGGTAATGGTGTGGGACGAGGAAAGGGTTTAACTTGAAGAGGAAAAGTAAGAAGAGGGAGAGACGGAGAGAAAGATGTAATAAAGAAGGAAGGAGATAACTGTCTTGGGTGAGAGCTGAGACAAATATAAAGCGACTAGGTGGAGAGATGGAATATAAGAGAAGACTTCTGGGGGGAAGGGAGCAGACAGAAGAGCTTTAACACTGGTGAAGAAGAAACAAGAATATGGAAATGAAAGAGCAGGAAGGAATATGTGTGAATAACGAAAAAATGTGTTGAAGACAAATAGAATAAAAATAGCGAGGACCAAATGGGTGTGTAGATAACTGTTTAGAAGCAGTTGAAGCAAGCGCCAGAAATAAAGTATAATGAGAAGCAAGGATAGAATGGGAGAAGAAGAGGGAGAACTGCGAGATGAAAAACAATAAATATTGGATAAGAGATCTCATGGTAGGTGGATGGT